ACTGGCCCATAATGGAAAAGAGTTTTGATGATGCCCGTCTCACTACAGACACGGATTATCAGTCTGGTATCACATTTTGTGAACAACTCCGTGCATGGGCCCAAGATAAGTTGACTGATCAGGCTACTTCTATTGCTGATATTGTTCAAGAAAAATCAGAAACGGTTGAAAGATTTCATTCCAGGTTAACTCAAACCTTTTCCGATCTGGGTTTCAATACATGTAATAAGGCCCACACCCAGATGCTATCAGCCGCTTTCGTTGCAGGCCTTAAAGAACCTATAAGGAAAGACCTGGTCCTGTCCCGTCCCGAATTCAGGATAATTCCCATGGATACTCTCCTCCTGGTCGCTAAAGGCCTGGAGTCAATCCAATTGCCCCAGCACAAGAAATCCACTCCTTTAATGTTTACATTACATGACCCTGCAATTACACCTGCCCCTGTTGGGTTCCCTGTTACCACACTACCGGGCCCTTTCATGACTCAGGTTCCAAGACCACAAGGTCGAACTTGTTTTCACTGTAAGAAACTAGGTCATTTTAAGAAGGATTGTCCAGGTTTTCCAGCACCTCGGCAGCGCACACAGGCTCTACGGCCACCGTATCCTGTGGCCGGTTATCCTCCTACTCAAGCGCTAGGTTATCCGACACATGATTCCAATTATGCTAACTATACTAGTTATTATCCGGATGACCGAGCCTCAGCCAATTATCTGCCCTCTAATCGTCCTATGCCTAGACACCGACGCCCTGCACAGCATGCTCAACAACCATACTACCCAACTACACCTACACGTACATATCCTGGTCCTGACCAGTCTCATATTGATCTTGTCCAATAGGTAACAGGCAAACCTGTGTCCAATGCCCCTGTCATGGCAGTGTATACAGGGGATAAAGGGGGGCCCCTAGCTACAGTGGTCCTACCTGTGGAAGGCTGCCCAACCACCTTCTTAGTTGACACAGGCGCAGCCCGTAGCGTACTTAGAGCATGTGACCTGCCTGACGATTCCTTTCTCTCTAATATAGATGTTTCCTGTATAGGTGTAGATGGTACCCCTCGTAGCAACCCATTAACTAAGCCCTTACGGGTGGGTACTTTCCCAGATCTCCTTACTCGTTTTGTAGTGTCTTCCTCTTGTCCTCTTAATTTGTTGGGAGCTGATGTTCTGTCCCGCTTGCAGGCCTCCATCTCCTTTACTCCAGATGGCAAGGTTCAGTTATTGACCCCTCTCTCCAGTGAAGATACCTCAGCCCTTTGTTCTTTACCCCTCCTACTCCACATGGAATCACCCCATGGAAATGCAAGGGTCCTAGACAACTCCCCCAGTGCACTTGACAGAGTTCCTGTGCAACTGTGGTCTACTGGTCCCGATGATATTGGACGACTTAAAGTCCCTCCGATATTTGTGCAGTTACTCCAAGGAGCAAGTCCGCCCAGAAGACCACAATATCCATTGACACCTGCTCAGGCCCTCTCTATCTCCAAACAGGTTGAAACTCTGCTGGCTGCGGGTGCACTGATTAAATGTGTGTCGCCTTGTAACACTCCTTTGTTTCCAGTTAAGAAAAAGACAGAAAAGGGCGAACCGGACAAGTACAGGATGGTTCAAGACCTCAGAGCAGTTAATGATGTTACCGTCTTGGAAACTCCCATTGTTCCAAATCCTCATACTCTTCTATCCCAGGTCCCTCCTTCAGCTAAATTCTTCACGGTGGTGGATTTGGCCAATGCCTTCTTCAGCGTGCCTTTGCATCCCTCTTGTCAATACCTGTTTGCATTTACCCATGACCGCCAACAATATACCTGGACAGTCATGCCCAAGGGAGCACAAAATTCCCCAAGCCAGTTTGCAAGAGCCATGGCATACATCCTGGAACCATGGCAGAAATCTCACACAGACGTGGTCCTCCTGCAATACGTGGACGATCTCCTTCTCTGTGCTGACGATCTCCCGACTGCAGAATGTGTCTCTGAAGATTTCCTCTGTTTCCTGGCCGCCCAAGGTTGTAAAGCATCTAAGAAGAAATTGCAGTGGTGCCGACCCTCGGTGATATTTTTGGGGCATTGTCTTTCTCATGGCACCCGGCACCTTACTAGAGACAGAGTGCGGGGTATCACATCACTCTGCCCTCCATCGGCTCACAAGTCCCTCCATGCCTTCCTAGGTCTTATCTCTTACTGTAGAGCCTGGATTCCTGAAGCCTCTACACTGATGCAGCCACTCTACGATGCCCTCAAAACTGAACCGTTTGATTTATCTCCTGAAGCCCTTACCAGCTTCTTCGCATTACGACGTGCTGTTGTTACTGCTCCTGCTCTGGGCCTTCCCAATTACAAGAAGCCCTTCAAGCTCTTCGTCTACGAAAAAATGGGACATGCATCTGGTGTTCTCACTCAGTCTCATGGGTCTCGTCAACGTCCAATAGGGTATTACTCCTGTCAGTTGGATCCTGTGGCCAGGGGAGGACCCTCCTGTCTTCGGGCTGTATTTGCAGCAAGTGCTCTACTGGACAAGACGTGTGACATAATCCTTGGTCACAAGCTAACCATTCTCGCCCCCCATGATCTTTCTGCAATATTGAATCAAGTTCAACCTAAACATCTCTCTACTCAAAGGCATCTTCGTCTCCAAACAACTTTAATGTTACCCGATAATGTCTCCTTACAGCGATGTTACACTTTGAATCCTGCCACTCTTCTGCCGCTTCCCAAGGGGGGAGTACCACACTATTGGTACGGTCTGAACATAGATCCTGATGCCTTCCTTGATCTGAATGTCCATATGCCCACAGTACCACACGATGAACAGCCATCTCCTCTATGGCATTGTACTTTGTGGTTCAGAGACGTTCCGGGGCCTGACCCTCAGTATGAAGAAGAACTGTTTCAATTGATTGAAGTACGCCTCACCTTGACAGACATATACTGTGATACAAAAGGTAACACTGTAGTGTTAGTTCAATTACCCACAGAAGTGACTCATATGTACCACCATTGGGAGATGGCAGTTCCTCATGTCTCTATTACTAAATCTCCAAATATCTCATGGAAGGAACTTGGTCCATTAGCCAAAGCATGGAGTGCAACAGATCAAGACCAACTCTCTACAGAAGGTGTTACCAAACGAACTGTGAATTGTAAGACTACTGGTTACCCACAATACCACACAGAAATATGTGAAGATGCCCCTCCCATAGATCCTGACCCAGATGTTCCCCATGACTGTTTTGAATAGATGAAGATGGAAACAGCCCACCTTCCTACAGTACATGAAACGGCTTTGCCAGATCCTGACTGCACACTGTTTGTGGATGGCTCCAGATTTGCGGATGAACAAGGAAGATACCACACTGGATTTGCAGTGACCAGAGTAGATCAGGTACTTCAAGCATCCCCACTTCCCCCGTCTATGTCTGCTCAAGAAGCGGAACTAAAAGCCCTCACTGTAGCATGCCAAATGTTTGAAGGGAAACGTGTTAATATTTACACGGATTCAAGATATGCCCTGGGCGTAGCACACGATTTTGGATTAATATGGAAAACAAGAGGTTTTCTGACAGCAACCGGTACACCAGTTAAACATGGTACAGCTATCAAGGAATTGATGGATGCTTTACTCCTTCCTGAAGAAGTGGCCATACTGAAAGTAAAAGCCCATGGAAGACGGAATTTGGAAGAAACATATGGCAATCATAAAGCTGACCAAGCCGCCAAAGATGCTGCATGTCAATCAAGGGAAGTGGACAGAAGAGTGTCCGGTGAGGAAATTCCTATTTTTCCCATGCAAACCTTACCTACAGACCTCAAGTTTTTGAAAGAACAGCAAGCAGCTGTAAGTCCTGAAGAAAAGCAAAGCTGGAAACAGAAAGGAGCAACCTTGCAGGATGGAGTATATACTAGCAATCTCAAATTTTGTCTACCTAAATGTATGTATCCGGCTGTGGTTCAGTGGGCCCACGGAGCAGCGCACTTGTCTAAGACACTCATGAACTCTTTAATTGCTAAATATTTTGAAGCACCAGGTATTACCACTCTGACTAAAACCTACTGTAAGTCTTGTGCTATCTGTGCCAAGTGCAATCCGGGAAAATTGGAGAAAGTGTCCCCCAAACACCTGGCGAAGCCACACAACCCATTCCAGAGAGTCCAAATTGACCACATTCAGATGCCAAAGAGTGGCCGGTATGAATATGCCCTAGTTATGGTGGACATGTTCTCAGGATGGCCAGAAGCTTTTCCGGTCACTAATATGACCGCCAAGACCACTGCCAAGCGGTTGCTCACTGAAATTGTCTGTAGATATGGAGTTCCTGAAGTGATTGAAAGTGACCAGGGCCCGGCTTTTATAGCACTAGTGACTAAGGAAGTCTGGGCAGCACTCGGGGTGACCCTTGCATTCCACACACCCTATCACCCACAAAGTAGTGATAAGGTAGAACGCATGAATGGCACCTTAAAAGCCAGAATGCTTAAGATGGCCCAAGAAACTAACCTGCCCTGGCCAGAGAGTCTCCCCATAGCTCTGTTTAGTGTTAGGTACACACCAAGAGGGAAGTTTAACCTGTCTCCTTATGAGATTTTGTTCGGTTCAGCCCCTAGGTTAGGTTGTTACTTTCCTCAACAACTCCAACTGCAATCAGATACTATGGTTAATTATGTGACTGCTCTTTCCCAAGTTTTAAATAAGTTTTAAATACATGCCCAAGTGTTTTCTTCCATTCCAGATCCAGAGTCTGATACAGGCACACACAAGTTGCTCCCTGGTGATTGGGTTCTGGTTAAGAAGTTCCTGAGTAAACATACCCTTGAACCCAGATATGATGGTCCGTTCCAAGTCCTTCTAACCACGACTACCTCAGTTAAATTGGCTGGAAAGAACTCTTGGATACACGCTTCACATTGCAAGAAAGTCCCAGATCCAGAGGAAGCAGATCCTGTTATAGCATGAATTTTGTGTATTTGTTCTTGCTGCTAGGTCTGATAAAGGCCCAACAAGTCGCTATAACCAAAGACAATCATGTTTATACATTTTGGTACAATTCCTCTAGTACACGGGTAGCCACATTTGCATTTGATTATTGTGATATTGTAAATTGTACATTTCCACCAGCATTGTTGTCAACAGTGTACAAAGACATACCTAACATTAAGGACCCATACATATGTGTGACTGATGACTACTGGGGATATGAGTGTAGCTCATGGAAGGCAGCAGGTTGGAATACAGGGCCAGCTTGGGGCTATAGACCACAAAGTGCCTTAGACAGATTAGATACAAATGGGGAGTCCTTACTGAAAAGAATGACGTTCAGGAAACCAGGGGGGGGCGACACCTATGAAACTAGCTTTAAACATAGAGCATCCCAGTCCTGGAGATGCTGGGCAATATGTAATGGGAATGTACTGGAAGGGAGGAGGTTCATACAATAAACAGGGGACCTTTTACTTACGGGACATGTATGACGCACCTGAATGGGTATGTGCCACGCACATGACTATTAATCCTCTTAGGCCACATATCAAAACTCTAAAAGAGATGATAGCTATAGCTAACCCCATGTATGAGGACACTATGGCTGTAGAGACGGCTCTCTCTGACACTAACTTATGGCTTGAGTGGATGAAATATAATGCTAACAAACACAACAGATCTAACTGCTATGTCTGTGGAGGAGCGAGGCCTCACTTAGGTACTGTCCCTTTGAATATACCTCCGGAGATAGAGATGTGTTTCCTAAGTCTCTATACTATACTTAAAACTGACCGGACGGAATGTGAATCATGGGTAAAGGAATACCCAATTATCCTTAAAGATGTTAAGCCAGATAAAGGTATCACCATATACCCAGGTAACTACACTTGTTATGGTATATATGATGGGGTAGGCCAATTCTTTGGTAATTTCACTGGCAAGTACTGTGCCACATATAGCCCAATTCCACCCGCCCTAATCCAACAACAAATAAGATCCCTTGGAGACATATATTGGATTTGTGGGGATATGCAGATTAGAACCAGATTGGAAGGCGTATGGTGGGGAGAATGTGCCCTAGCTAAGGTTATTATGCCTATACACATAATCTCTGATGGACACCAAGATAACCCAGGTACATCACACCAATACTCTAGAATAAAGAGATATACTCCTGTAAAAGGCAGTTTTGATCCTCATATTTACAAAGATACCATAGGAGTGCCAAGGGGGGTGCCGAATGAGTTTAAAGCAAGAGATGAAGTGTCCGCAGGGTTCAAATCTATTTTCCCAATCATCACGGCCAATAAAAATTTAAATTGGATCAATTACATCTATTATAACCAACAAGGTTTTGTAAATTATACAAGAGATGCCCTCCAAGGTTTGGCGGAACAATTACAAGCTACTTCCCAGATGACCTTCCAGAATAGAATGGCCTTAGACATGATCCTGGCGGAGAAAGGGGGAGTATGTAAAATACTCCCAGACACCATGACATGCTGTACCTATATTCCAGATAATACAGGCCCTAATGGTAAGGTAACGTTGGCAATAGAAAAGTTAAGGACCACTATAGTGCCAGGAAAACATGCCGTTTTCATGACACTATAGTGCCCTAGTGCCCCACCCGCAGGGGTCCCCTCCGCCCGACTCTGGAAAGGGGAAAGGGTTAACAACTTACCTTTTTCCAGCTGGTGACTCTCACTCCTCTCCTGGGCTGAATCTTGCAGCGGCCCAAGAGCTCTTGTGGCATTCGGCTTTCCGTCACGGAAAGCATTTACAATGCTTTCCTGTAGTTACCTAGCGATGCTCTCACTGTGAAAAGTACAGTGAGAAGCATAAGCTCAATGTGTCAATGAGACAGCCACTAGAGGAAATAGGGGAAGGCTTAACCCATTCATAAACATTTATAAAAAAATGGGTTAACCCTAGAAGGACCTGGCACCCAGACCACTTCATTAAGCTGAAGTGGTCTGGGTGCCTAGAGTGGTCCTTTAAAGAGTTTGTCCAATGAACTGAAAAGGAATTCTGGGGCCACAGATCCATGGGAAAGATGGTTTGGATGGATGTCTGGATGGCAAGGTGTTCTGGCCCAGATAGGCGTTGCCATTTTAATAACGATAATCATCCTCGCTCTTCTTGTTTGTTGTGTGTTACCCTGTCTTAAGAAATGCCTACAAAAGACAGTTGATCAGACAATCGACCAGACCACCCCGACCTTCCTTCACCAAGAGATTGATGACATAGACCGTGATACACCACATACACCCTTAAAGTCCCACCGCACTAAATCAACAGCTACTTCCTCTTAAGGACATTCAGGGATAGCGTCTGTCTCTACGGGCAGAAGTCTGTCGCGGGAAGAAGTAGTGGACAAGCTGCTACGGGTTACCCGTGCAGTGAAGTGTTCGAGGCCTGTTCAGACAGATGTGCAAGATAGCCTTTTTGTTATTTTTCTATAGGGACAGTATTAGAGTGAGAGATAGTAGTTTCTAGTAAAATTGCCATTTTAAGGGGGGACTGTTATGGACAGATGAATTAAAATAAAATGGCTATTTACTGTCTATTTATTCTGTGTTCACTATATTAAAACTGGCTGATAGAGTAAATATTCCCCCCCCCCCTACAATGTGTTCAGGCACTATTTTCTCTCTGTAAATTCCTCGCATCCTGCTAGCATCCCCCTTCCCATCAGAGCAGGCCTCGTGTAACAAAAAAATTCCTGTGTTAACAGCTTCCTTTACTAACTCCTCCCCCACTTCCTTTTTGCCAGTTAACAGCTATATGCCACGTGTAACAAAATGGAGAATCACTGTTAAAGTAACTGAAAGAAACTACTCACTCCCCCTCCCATCGTGTATCCAAGATGGAGCTGGAATATAGGCGGGAGAAGTCTGTAATGACAACACTACATCCTGTAGGGGGGGTTTAGACAAGACCCCTTAGACTGTTAACCAATTGTTGAATGTATATTGTATGTTTAACTGTGACTCTGTACATGACGTATTTCTGCTTTAAAAGGAACTCCCACTCCAGGGAATAAAGCATTCCTTGGTTTTTCACTGATCAGAAACTTTGTCTCCGGTGTGAATTACTTCTAGGGAAAGCGTGCACACATTAATCAATCAATTTGGAAGGTGTAGATAGACAAATTATCAAAGTTTTCTTTGATCTAAAAC